GGACTCGATCCCGGGACTCCAGGATCATGACCTGAGCCGAAGGCAGTCGCTTAACCGACTGAGCCACCCAGGCGCCCCTACACACAGATTTCTTAAAGTATCTTTTTTCTTTCATCATATCCGCATACATTATTATTAAACACCAGATCACACTGCTGTATTGAGCAAGCTGTACTGCGTATGAATAGGGGTCTTTCCTTATGTAGGTAGGGCAGTGTGGGGAGGGGCAAGTCCTGTGGACACTCAGGTGCGTTTGTGCTCAAAATTAATATACCAGGAGATACCAGTAGTTTGTTTAGATCAATGAAAAATCTGAGCAAAGGCCAGGATTTGGGTTCAGAAAAGCAAGAGTGAAGCACAAGGAGTAACAGGAAAAGTGGGAGCAGTGCTTGTGCTTTGCACATCTATGGTGATATGATTGTGTTATAACAGTTAAAAGCCTGACCTTGAAAAAAGAGAGGAGACGATTGAGCAACAGGAAGAATACGGACTCATTCTGTCAGAACTGACACCATGGGTATGAGGTGAAAGTGGAAGACATTCCACAGGGAGACAGTATGGTGTTACAGGAAGATTGTAGGCTTGCATTTATTTCAGTATTGGCTCCAAAAACTATCAAACTCTGGAGCACCTGAGTGGCTCAGTCAGTTAAGCACCTGACCCTTGATTTCGGCTCAGGTCATGATCTCAGGGTCATGGGATGGAGCCCCATGTTGGGCTCCATGCTCAGCATGGAGTCCGCCTAGGATTCTCTCCCTCTTCCTCTGCTCCTCCCCCTATCTCTCCACCCCAGCTCACACCTCTCTAAAAAAATCAAACTGACTATCCCACAAATTCCATTTCTAGGTATACAGTCAAGAGAGTTATACATATTATATATATACACATATATATGTATACACACACACTATATGAGATATATATAGATATATTCCAGACACATTTAAGAATGTTCTTAACAAAAACCTGGGTATGGCTATCAAGAGGAGAATGGATAAACTCACTGTATAAACACATGCAGATACAATAAAACACTCTCAAAGGTACAGCAATGGAAGATGATCATGGGTACTGGATGACTGACAATCTTCTGGCTAAGGGCACAAAGGTTATATGGTGGAAAATAAGTTAGCAGGAAGCTTTTGCCAAGGTTTAAATTCTTTGGGGATGTTATTATATTTGGTAAAAAAGTAACATATTAACTAAATTATATATTTTTAAAAAGAGAAACATCAGGGGCGCCTGGGTGGCTCAGTTGGTTAAGCGACTGCCTTCGGCTCAGGTCATGATCCTGGAGTCCCAGGATCGAGTCCCGCATCGGGCTCCGTGCTCGGCAGGGAGTCTGCTTCTCCCTCTGACCCTCCCCACTCTCATGTGCTCTCTCTCATTCTCTCTCTCTCAAATAAAAAAATAAAAAATCTTTAAAAAAAAAAAAAAGAGAAACATCAATTTAGTATATGTGCTGCCGAAGCGAGCACAAGAGAAACATCAATTTATTTATTTTTTTAAAGATTTTATTTTATTTATTCATGAGAGACAGAGAGAGACAGAGAGAGAGAGAGAAGCAGAGGGAGAAGCAGGCTCCCAAGGAGCAGGGAGCCCAATGCGGGACTCGATCCCAGGACTCTGGGATCATGACCTGAGCCGAAGGCAGACGCTTAACCATCTGAGCCACCCAGGCGCCCCGAGAAACATCAATTTAGATAAGATTTTTAATCCAAATGTCCTTGCTTGTTATAGAAAAATAACAATGTCTTTTCCTGGAATTTGTAAATTATCTGAAATCGTATCTTCTTTTAACATTACAATCCCAAACATTCAAGAGACATCAGGTGAGAAGTGCTTTTAACTAGATGTGTGTGTTGTGTGTGTACATAGTTACATAATCTGACTTCAAAAACATCATCAGAAATTAGTGCCCCTAAGGAGCATTACTAAATGATCTAGAACACAGAATGTTTATATGGAAGGACAGTGTTAATAGCAGTATTTAAACATAGAAACAATCTTTGGCTGTGTCACTGTGGTCCACAGCAGAGGTCTATGTGCATAGGTGGGGTTAGCAACATAAGCAGCCAATCATAGAAAAAGAGGACAGCAATGGGATGTGTGTCAACAAGGAGCAGGTGACGTTTTTCATGGAGTTCAGTTGAAAATGAGGACAGGAACAAAGCAGGCTTCATGGGTTAACTGAAATATGTAATTTCAAGAGCTTAAGAAATTTTCTGGGAAACCCAAGTATTAGGAGCAGTAGTAATAAGGAAACCGTGGAGTATAAAAAAAACTTCCTTTGTTTCCTTAAATAAAATGAGATATTTAAATATTAGATTAGTATACCAAGATATACATGATGAATCTAAACAAGAATATTAAAATAAATTATTTGTAGCAAGAAAAAAATGAAAATTAAATTCAAAAGTTATTTTTAGAAAACTACATATAAAGGGAAAAAATAATGTATCTTATACAAAAAGCTAAGGCAAGTCAATTGAATGGTATTTCTGTGACTAAGGCAGTAACTTAAAAAGTATGTCCTCAAGATATCACAAATTATCAGCTTAAAGAATGTCATATATTTAACTGAGGAAAATGTGTGTTAAAACAATGAGATACCACTACACATTTATGAATAGCCAAAATCCAGAACACTGAAATACCAAATACTACTGAGGATGTGGAATAATAAGAACTCTCATTCACTGCTGGTGGGAATGCAAAATGCTATACCACTTTCTTACAGAATTAAATATACTCTTAAATACGATCTAGTAATCAAACTCTTCGGTATTTATACAAATAAGTTGAAAATTTATGTCCATGTAAAAACCTGGACACAAAATAGAGAAATCCTACAATCTGTATGGAACCACAAAGGACCCTGAATGGCCAAAGCATCTTGAGAAAGAAGAACAAAGTTAGAGGCATCACATTCCCTGATTTCAAACTCCTTCATTACAAAGCTGTGGTAATTAAAACAATAAGGTATTAGCATAAAAACAGACACAGAGATCAACAGAAGAGAACCCAGAAATAAACCCACACACATGGTCAATTAATTTATGACAAAGGAGACATGATGCGGGGCCCGATCCCAGGACTCTGGGATCATGACCTGAGCTGAAGGCAGACGCTCAACGACTGAGCCATCCAGGCGCCCGGTTTTCTGACATTAATGTTCTGCAACCACCTAATGAAGCATGAAAATGCAGAACTTCTGAAGAAAAGGAAAGTTAGAGTCCACTTGACATTTTGAAGCCTTTCCATTCTCAATCAAAACAGCTTCAATCACTCCCTTAAGAACAGGGATCTGAAACTCATGCAATCAAGTCAGGGGCTCTCAAGAGAAAATGCAAAAATATACAAAAGTAATTACCGACTTCTGGAGGGAAACTATCCTCACCCAGGGAGACCAGGTTCCTGTAGTTCTCCACCATCACGTCCCTGTACAAGGCCCTCTGAGCAGGGTCCAGACACTCCCACTCCTCCTCAGAGAATTCTATGGCCACATCCCTGAAGGTCACCTGTCCCTGAAATGAAAACACATTTCACCAAGCGGACAGGCAGAGTGTTCTGATTTTGACACAAAATAAAAGAAGCAGAGATGTGTAAAGGCTGACTTGACTGGAGTGAGTGTTCCGAATGATCTGTGTAAGATAATTCTGAGCAAGTTATAATTCTCTAATTTTCTTAAGTGAAACTCAACATAACAAAATTAGCCATTTTTAAGTACCATTCGGTGGCATTTAGTACATTCACAGTGTTGAACAAACATCACCTCAGTCTAGATCAAAAACATTTTTATCATTCCCAATGGAAATCCTTTACCCATTAAGCAAGTGCTTCCTATTCCCCCTTTCTTCCCCAGTCCCTGGCAACCCCTAATGCTTGTCTCTATGGATTTACCTATTTTGGATTTTTCATGTAAATGGAATGGTATAAAATATGACTTTTTTGCATCTGGCCACTTGGAATAATGTTTGGGGTTCATCCATGATGTAGTATGTATCAGTACATTGCTTTTTTATGGCTGAATAGTATTCCATTGTAGGACTAGACTGTATTCACTATCTATTGATGGGCATTTGGTTATCACCTTTGGCTAATGTTGCTAATGAATGTTGCTATGAACATTCAAGTACAAGTAGATGTTTGGATACCTGTTTTCAATTCTTTTGGTTATATACCTAGGAGTGGAATTACTGGGTCACATTGTTTAATTTTTCAAGAATCTGCCACTGTTTTCCACAGCAGCTACAACATTTTAACAGAATGTGTCATGATTCTAATTTCTCCACATCTTTACCAACACTTTTTGTTTTACTGTACTCATCCTAGTGGGTGTGAAATGGTATCTCATTGTGGTTTTGACTTTGCAGTTCACTAATGACTGATTTCATTGAACCTCTCTTCAGTGGCCTGTTTCAGTTGTTTATCTTCTATGGAGAAATGTCTATTAAAATCCTTTAACCATTTTTTAAAATTGGGTTCTTTTTATTTTGGTTGTTGAACTGTAGAAGTTCTTCATATATTCTAGGTTCTAGACCCTTACTAGGTATGTGATTTGCAAACTATTTCCTCCCATTTGGTAGATTATGTTTCACTTCTGTGATAATGTCCTTCAGTGCACAAACATTATTAATTTTGATGATGACCACTTTATTTTCTTTCTCTTTTGCTTTTGGTGTCATATATTAAACCCACTGCCAACTCCAAGGTCATGAAGATTTCCCTCTATGTTTTCATCCAAGAGTTTGTTTTAGCTCTTACATTTGGTCTTTGATTAATTCTGAATTATTTATATGGTACAAGTTAGTTTCAATTTTATTCTCTTTCACATGGATATCCAGTGTGCCAACACCATTTAATAGAGTGTTCTTTTTCCACTGACTGTTTTTGGCACCCTTATAAAAAAGGAATTGACTATAGGTGTATGGGTTTATTTATGGATGCTCAGTTCTATCGCTTTGATCTATATTTCTAGCCTCTGCTGGAGTTATAGTTTTGATTACTCAAGATTTGTAGTAAGGTTTGATGTTGGGGGGCGCCTGGGTGGCTCAGTCGGTTAAGCGTCTGCCTTTGGCTCAGGGAGCCCGACGTGGAACTCTGGAATCGAGTTCCGCGTCGGGCTCCCTGCTCAGCGGGAAGCCTGCTTCTCCCTCTCCCACTCCCCCTGCTTGTGTTCCCTCTCTCGCTATGTCTCTGTCAAATAAATAAAATCTTTAAAAAAAAAAAAAAGGTTTGGTGTTGGGAATTCTAGGTCCTCCAACCTTGTTCTTTCTCATGTTAATTTTGGTTATTTGGGGTCCTTAACCAAATCGATGAGTTTTAGAATCAGGTTTCCCATTTGTGCAAAAAAGGCTGTTGAGATTTTGCTGGGGATTGCATTACTCTTTATCTCACTTTGGGGAGTACTGCCATCTTAATGTCTTCTGATCCACAAACACAGGCTATCTTGACATTTATTTAGGTTTCAATTTTTCTCTGCAACTTTTGTAGTTTTCAGTGTGTATAAATCTTCCATTTCCTTGGTTAAACTTATTCCCATCCATTCTGATGCTCTTGTAAATGGAATTGTTTCCTTACTTTCAATTTGTTGATTGCTAGTGTACAGAAATACAACTGAATTTTGAGTGCTGATATTGTACTAATGCACTGTAGTATCTCTAATAGTTCTTTTGAGGATTATTTCTAAGTATAAGATCATGTATTCTGTGAATAGACATAGTTTGATTTCTTTTCCAGTTTTGACACATTTTATTTATCTTTCCTCTCTATTTTCTCTGGTTAGAACTTCAGTACAGTGTTAAAGTGTGGTGACAAAATGGGGCACTCTTATTTTGTTCTTAGTATTAGGGTGTAAGTTTTCAGTCTTTTACCATCGAGTATAATGTTAGCTGTGGAATTTTAGTAATACCCTTTTTTTCAGACTGATGAAGTTCCCTTCTATTCCTAATTTTTTAGTGCATTGTTTTTGTTGGGAGTGTTCTGTTTATGTCTGCTAAGTCTAGTTGATTTAGTGTTGCTCAGTCCTTTATTTCCTTACTGATATTATGTCTGGTTGTTCTTTCCATTATTAAAAGGGGAGTATTGAGGTCTCCAACTATTATAGTAGAGCTCCTCAATTTTTGCTTCAAAAAACTGGGGGCTTTGTTGTTATGTACATATTGTTTATAGTTGTTTTATCTTCCTGATGGATTGACCCTTTTTTCAAAATGTAATGTCCTTCAACATCTCTGGTAACAATTTAACAACTTAGTCTATTTAATCTATCATCTGTATAGCTACCCACCTAGGTTTCATTACTATTTGCATGGAGTATCTTTTTCCATCCTTCCACTTTTTTTTAAGATTTTATTTATTTATTTGACAGAGAGAGACAAAGCGAGAGAGGGAATACAAGCAGGGGGAGTGGGAGAAGGAGAAGCAGGCTTCCCGCGGAGCAGGGAGCCTGATGCAGGGCTTGATCTCAGGAACCTGGGATCATGACCTGAGCCAAAGGCAGACGCTTAATGACTGAGCCACCCAGGCGCCCCCATCCTTTCACTTTCAACCTATTTATGTATCTAAAGTGAGGCTTTTGTAGATCTAGAGTGAAATCATTTTAAAAAATTAATTCCTTTGTCTTTTATTGAAGAGTTTAATCAATTTACATTTCAAGTTACTACTGCTAAGTATGACTTCTGTCTATTTAGCTATTTGCTTTCTGTATGTCTAATATTTTGTTTCATAATTCCTTCTTTGTGTGTCTGTGTGTGCATACCATTTTGATTGCCTTTGTCATTTTTCTGTATATTTTTAAGTTATTTTTTGAGTGGTTACTCTGGGGATTACAGTTTACATATTGAACTAATAATATCTGAATTTCAGTTGATACTAACTTAGCTTTAGGAGCATATAACTGCTCCTATACAGTCTTCCTTTATGTTCTTATTTTCAAAAACTACTTCTTTATAAACAGATGGACAGATGTTTAATACACTCAAAAGCAGATTTTTATTACTGTTTTCTACATTCGTCTTTCAGGTCACATAGAAAAAAAATGAGTTAGAAAACAAAAATATAGTAACACTGGCTTTTATATTTACCTATATAGTTACCTTTACTAGTGTTCTTTATTTGTTCCTATGGCTTAGAGGTACTGCTAGTTTCCATTCATTTCAGTCTGAAGAACTCCATCTGGTATTTCATGTAGGCTAAGGATATTAGTGTGAACTTCCTCAGCTTTTGTTTATCTAGGAGTCTCTTAATTTCACTATCAATTTTGAAGCATAGTTTGCCTGATAATGAATTCCTGGTAGATTTTATTTTTAATCTGTCAAACTTTAAATATCTCATGAGACTGCTTCCTTCAGTTTCTGATGAGAAATAAGCTCTTAAACTTCTTGAGAATCCATCAGAAGTTGTTTCTGTCTTGCTACTTTCCACATTCTTTTTGTCTTAGAGAAGTTGATTATATGCTTGCCAGGGATCTCCATGCATTTATCATAGGTGAAGTTCATTGAGTTTCTTGGATGTGTAAGGTTAATGTTTTCGATAAATTTGGGTGGTTTTCAGATCTTATTTCTTCAAATATTCTTTCTGCTCTTTCTTCTTTGTCCTTTCCTTCTAGGACTCCTATTATATGTATATCAGTATTCTTTTTGCTTTTTAAGATTTTATTTATTCATTCGAGACACAGAGATACAGAGAGTGAGCATGAGCAGGGGGAGAGGCGGAGGGAGAGGGAGAAGCAGGCTCCTGGCTGAGCCAGGAGCCAGACGTGGGGCTCGATCCCAGGACCGTGGGATCATGACCTGAGCCGAAGGCAGATGCTTAACCATCTGAGCCACCCAGACGCCCCGTTTTTTAAGTTTTATTTATTTATTTTAGAGAGAGGGTATGTGTGCGGGGAGGGGGTGGGAGGGAGGGGGAGAGAGAGAATTGTCAAGCAGACTCCCCATTGAGTGTGGAGCCTGACGCAGGACTCGATCCCAGGACCCCAAGATCATGACCTGAGCCGCAATCAAGAGTCAGCTGCTCAACTGACTGAGCCACCGAGGTGCCCCTGTATCAGTATTCTTGATAGTGTCTATGGTGTCCCAAAGGTTTCTTAGTCTCTGTTCATTTTTCTTTTTTCCCCTTTCTTCTTTTTTTCCCCTTTTCTTCTGCTCACACTGGATAATTTCAATTAACCTATGTTTAAGTTCGCTGATTCTTTATTCTTCTTGTCAATCTGCTTCAATTTTGGCTATTTTACTTTTTAGCTCCAGAATTTCTATTCTACTATCCCTTTACCATAATTTCTCTCTCTTTATTAGTATTTTCTATTTGTTGAAACATTGTTCTTCTACTTCTTAGTTCTCTTCCATGGCTTCCTTTAGCCGAATATGTTTAAGACAGTTGATTTAAAATCTTTACTTAGTAAGTGGAATGTCTGGCCTCCTCAAGAACACTATCATTATCAGGTTAACCTGGTAATCATGCTTAAGATATACAATCTGGAGATATCCTTAGATATCTGTAGTGAAGTCAGCCTGCTCAGAAGCAGGCATTCTTTGTAACAGTAAGAAATTGTAGAGGACCCATGTATCTTCATTTAGAGACTAGTCCAATGAGGATCTAAAAAAGCAGCTATCTCTATGTTTACTAACATGAAAACAACTCCAAGACACATGGTATGTAAATATTTAAATTTAGAAAATATGATTAAACATTTACTGAAGAATATTTTTTCAGGGCGCCTGGGTGGCTCAGTTGGTTAAGCGACTGCCTTCGGCTCAGGTCATGATCCTGGAATCCCGGATCGAGTACCGCATCAGGCTCCCTGCTCAGCGGGGAGTCTGCTTCTCCCTCTGACCCTCCTCCCTCTCATGCTCCCTCTCTCTCATTCTCGCAAATAAATAAAATCTTAAAAAAAAAAAAAAAAGAATATTTTCTCAAATCACATTACAATATATAAATGCATTTTTATAAGATTTTTATAATAGTTACTAAAGAGAATATTGGTTCCTGGTGAAGACAATCAGTGATGGTGGAAGATAAGATGGGAAGGGGATATTTTACTTCTTAGTTTCTAAACTCCATCAATGTGTGGAATTGAACCACAGAAATATATACCAGAGAAGTTTAATACAAAAAAACAAAAAACAAACAAAAAACAACATTTAACAATAATTAGTAAAATCAAAATTTAGCCCCAGCCTCTCTAATGACAGAAAGTTCTGCTCTTATGTGTTGGCTAAATTATAAACATTTTTATCTAAAAGATCTGCTGTGTAAGAGTTCCTAAGACCTCAAGAGTTCCATAAAGACCTCATGGTCTTTACGAGATGGGTGTGCAATGAATAATTTAAAGAACACTTACTGTTAGACAAGTTGGTTGATTCTAAGTTTTAAAACTAATTATGTTAATAAAACAAAACACCCTCTCTATTCCTTATTCCTACTTTGAATTTCCCATTCTCTTCCCAAGTATTAGTATTTTGAAGTCAGAAATATACTGGTTTCCTTGTTTAACGTCAGAAGACATTTATAAAATTAGAAAAAGCAAACATCCCCCGTCAGTCTTCTTTTCCAGAGTTTCTCAAGTATTTGTGCACATTAATACATCACTTACATATGTAATCTCTTTAATCTTTATTTATATGAGCTGAAAGGGCATCCAGAAGGGGTCTCTGAAGAATCCTTAATGTCCAACCTCACTGACACCACAGAGCCTACTCCCTATCTCCAGTCAATGCCTGCACAGAAAATCCTTCACAGGATGACCACCTAAAAGGAGCCTCTTCCCAAGTTCCATGTCACTTGGTCACAGTGAGATGGAATCTGCATGGAGATGAGAGGAGACTGGGAGAAAGTGTGAGTGAATACTTTAGGCAGGAGAACAATCAACTAAAAATATGACTTTTACCTGGGAAAGAGCCATTCCTCCTTTTTTCCCTCTTCTTCTGGGCTTCTTTCTCAGATAAGGTTATTCTGTGTGACAAAAAGTATGTTGTTTAATGCTCAGAATCAACATAACCCCTTCCTCTGCCACAATATACATAATGGGAGAACCTTAATATGGTGGAAAGACAAGTCCTTTGCTGCTAACTGCAACAGGAGGGAGACAGGGACAGTAACTCCTATATGGAGGGCAACAAGTACATTTTTCACCCATGTCTTCAGAAAGCCCTCCCCTCCTGCTGAAACCCACACATTCTACTGAAACTGCACTGTCTTTTGTCCCCTTGGCACTTGGCCAAAGGAACTGCTGCATTCAAGCTCTTGGCTCCTCCCTAGGCAGCCAGAATCCAATGAATGGTTGATGCAGGATACAGAAGCTGTCTTCCATCAATTTGGCCAACTCTTAATCTTAAGGGCCACCCCAGCTCCAGAGCTCCTCCCAAAATCATTTCAGGGATCTTATTAGCTCAGATTCAGAATTCCTGGTCTATCGTCTCCATTTCACAGGCGGGTGCACTGAGTCTCAGAGGGGGAATATTTTTACCAAGTTACCTTTAAGAGGTCTGAATTGAGTGAGCAGACCTGGGTGTAAGTAAATTCTGAAATGGTAGCCCAGACAAGTTTAAGTAGAAAGGACTTGTCCTAATTCCAGATTACCTTTCATGTTCCTGAACAAGAGAAGATTCTCTTTAATGGGTTTAATCAAACCCAAGTTAATTTAATTCCTCTTTTCCAGAAAAAATATAATAAAAAATGTATGAAATTAAAAATAGTTACTAGTCCTGAAAAACATGAAGAAGGGTCACCCGTGGAGATGAGATCTGAGCAATCTCTGCATCATAAACAGATGGGCTCTGTTGGAATAAAGTTCCACATCAATCCAGCCCATCCTCCCAACATCTGCACAGAAAAGACAAAGGGGACTTGAGGGGAACATTTACTTAGTTGGAAACTTCTGCTCAGAGTTCAGTAATTTCATCAGATCACTTAAGGGAAGGGAACTGCTGAATATGAAATTAACTGGCTAAACTAGATTTTGAGTGTCAAAAAAAAAAAGTTACCCACATCCTTAACGGATGCATAATGAAATACTATAAAATTATTTACCAGACATCAAACAATAATTCCACTACACGGTAAAGTAGAAAGCACACAGAATTAATAATCTGAACAAAAAATTAAGAAGGAAAATAATTTGGAAATTAAAAGATATCCAGTGGATTCTGAGATTAAAGTTAAACAAGTGTGAAGATACATCAAATTTAGAAAAGAATGACACGAGCCACAGAAAAAAGGGGGAAAGAGAAACGGTACTGTTAATAATGGCCATTTTGGAAAGCACCATGTGGTGACAGAAAGTCTTCCCCCATTTCTTGGAAGGGAAGAGGATCACCTGGAACTGACTAAGCTAGGCCTCTGCCCTCTAAATGAACAGGGGCTGCAAATGGAATCATCTTCTGATGCAATAATTAGAACGTGCAGATGCCTCAAACACCTGGTTTCACAACTCTCATTCTCTTCCGCATAACTGAAACAATTCAACAAATTTTAATTACAGAGCCACAAATCAGTACTTCACAACTCAGTATTCCACATCCAGTCAACTCAATACTCACCTGGGTTTGGGTCCTGTGCTTTCTCCGAGACCACTATGTGTTTTGGTCTCTGTGTATGTCTCTTTGTCCTCGTTTCTCTTCTCTCCTTTTGTCCATCTGTTTCCCTCTCTGTTTCCGCATCCTTCTGTTTCCCCCCCCCTCGCTATTCCTCCTCCAACACTTTGACCCCGCTCTGCGGCAACCTGTTTCAATCCCTGCCGTCCTTTCTTCCCAGACTTTCTGCTGGCTCCCTAACTGCGCAGAGTCCTGCGTCCTCCCCGCCATCTCTGTTGCCCCCCTGCCCTCCCTGGAGCGGAGCAAGGGGCCTGCATCCACTGGACCGAGGCACCCCTGTACCGACGCGGGTGGGGGTGGGGGCAGAGTCGGGAGTCCGAGAAAGGTTCTGAGCAGGAAAGCGACCGGAAGCGCGATCGGTGTCTACAAGGGCCGAAGGCAGCAATGTTGGCGCCCGCACCCGCCTCAGAGCGATTTTAACCGGAATCGCAAACTCCCGGCTCCCGCACCGAGCGCCAGGACTCGGAACGTCACACGGCGACGCCGCGAGAGGCGATAGGGACGACCTCCCAGCGAGAGGGACGAGGGGGCTCAAGGATTTTACCTTACCAGGCGACCCCCGAAACTGGGTGCGGAGGAGGGGCCTGAAGAGCGCGCCGGCGGCACGAACCAGAAAAATGGAGACTCCCTCTCCCGAGCGCGCCCGTCGCTCCGCGCGATCCGCTTCCGGGTCTGCAGGCAAGCGCGCGTGCGCCGCGGGGCGGGGCTGGGGGCGGGGCCTGGAACGCGCGGGGTCCCGCAGTTTTCGCGTCTGTTTGTCTCTCCCGCCCGGCGGTTTCAGTTTCAGCTCTTGGATTCCTTCGCATTCCGCTGCTGTCTTTGGGAGCGAGGCTGGGTCCGACATTAGGGAAGTGTGGGCCGCTTTTATTTGAAGGGGCGGTATTTGACAAGTGAAGCACGGTGCCCGTTCAAACTTTGGCGAGTGGTGGAGACGCGCCTCCTGCGAGGGAGGCCGAGCAGCGCGGGGACCTGGGGCGGGACGGGGGTCCTTGTGGAGCGACCGAGCTGACAGTGGCAGCTCCTCATTTAACTGAGCAAAAGCCGGAGTGGTGAGTGTGGGTGAGGGAAGCTAGGATGGATGGGCAATGCGGAACTGCTCTGTGGGGAACGTGCGGTTTTGTACTAACGTCCACCAAAGCTCTTCTTTTTCACGGAATTGTCACTTCTGCTCCCCCATTCGCTGGGCTGCGCTCCTGGGACTTCCGGCCAGACCTTGGGCTGCGGGGACGGAGGGCTGGCACGTTCCTTTAAAAGAACCAAAACTTCTGCCTGTATGGATGTAAATTAATTTCTCTCTCTTTAAACTTGATATCGGAATCCACACCTCTCAAGATGAATTACAAATCCAAACGCCTTTGAGACCTACCGGGTGGCATCCTGTATTTTACTTACGGCATTAATTACTAAATACCGTTGCAATTTCAAGTTTCTAAAATCTTTATTCTCAGTTATTTGGAAGAGTATTTTTAACTTGAAGATTAGGTATTTTAACCGACCTTTTTTTTCAGTTTCTAAATGCTTTTTAAAAAATTTTATTTATTTGACAGAGAGCGCAAGAGAGGGAACACAAGCAGGGGAAGTGGGAGAGGGAGAAGCAGGCTTCCCGCAGAGCAGGGAGCCCGATGAGGGACTCGATCCCAGGACCCTGGGATCATGACCTGAGCCGAAGGCAGACGCTTAACGACTGAGCCACCCAGGCGCCCCTCTAAATGCTTTCTATCAAGTGCAGATAAGGAGCCTTGTAAAAGGTGTACTCTTTCAGAGATATTTAACTTTTCCTAGTACTGACGAAATATTAGTTTGGAAGTATTTCCAGAGACGTGATAAGGATGTCTGTTCTTTATGTGAACAATACAAGCAAATAATAAAACTGGGTTTTTTTTCACATTTTCAGTACCATCATATACACTTAATAATTGCATATGAAATATGCAAGTTACTAGCTCCTCTTCTGTTTCCTGTGGAATTCTGAGGCTGGTGTGGCTGGATCTGCTTTTTTTTTTTTAAAGATTTTATTTATTTATTTATTAGAGAGCAAGCGAGAGAGAAACAGCATGAGAGAGGAGAGGGTCAGAGGGAGAAGCAGGCTCCCCACTGAGCCAGGAGCCCGATGTGGGACTCGATCCCAGGACCCTGGGATCATGACCTGAGCCGAAGGCAGTCGCTTAACCAACTGAGCCACCCAGGCGCCCTGGATCTGCTTTTCACACCCTCTCTGTTAGGTGACTGCTCACTCCCTGCTTAAATCTCTGCAAGGAGTGGATGAACAAATGACTACACATCGTTTAAACAATTTATAGTAGTTTTTGGCTATTGTATCGTTTTAGGGAGTTGTGTATTCCTTTTGCAGCATGCAGAGAAGACCCTAGACACAATAAGGTCATGGCTCCAGAGAACAAAAGGGCTGATTGTTGGGAAACAGGGAGTGATCAGGGCAGAGGGGTTCAGCAGCCACCAACTGGGATTTTCAGAAGGAGCCAAATAAAATGAAAAGGTGGAAGAGAGAGCATAAAAAGATACAAAGGTGCTTACCAAGACAAGGATGCTTCGGGTAGCCCTCATGTCAGGGGAAATTCTGGAGGAGATGTTGTTCCTATGAATATGCTCGTCCCGCTGCTTATATCTTAAGAGGTTGAAAACTATGGAGATGCTGGCCCAGATCACAAATCCCAACCGAAGACATGAGGGAAGATTGAAAGTGCAGCAAGTGGTGATTGTGTGATCTTATTCAGAATCCCTGGCCATACTTCTTTGTGACGTTTTTGCTGTTCATTTGTCAGTCACGGGAGGAGGGAAAGTGACATTTACCAGCATGTCCAGGATCAAGCAGCTGTTTGTTAGAGAGGTACCGGGGAGCTTTTATTTTAAGCTCTATTATCTTGGAGTTTCTGGGGCCAATTGTGATGCTCTGGAAGACACTCAAGAAACAGTGGTGCCAATGGATACACCACTGGCCATTCTGAACATGCAAAACAAACTTGTATCAAAACTCAACAAGGACATTTTTCAACCCCAAAGCTGTCAGCGAGTGATTCCTTTAAGGACAATGAGCCAGACATTGGCTACAGTCAGGTGGTCGAGAAGCAGGTCGTAGGAAGGAATTCAACCATGTTTTACTTATTTTTTACCATATTCTCTTTTGTTTGACCTTTACCTTGCTATAGGATGTGAAGAATAAGACCATTTATTGTCATTTTAAAAAAAGATTTTATTTTTTTTAGGTAATCTGTACACCCAGTGTGGGTCTCAAACTAATGACCCAGAGATCAAGAGTTGCGTGCTTTTCTGGCTGAGCCAGCCAGGCACCCCTCTTTTATTGTCATTGTGATAGGAATTCCCATTTCCCAAATGCCAGGCATTAATGATGTTATCCCCACTGTAGTTTTTGCTGATTATTAACTTTTCTTATGCACTTTGGCATACTTCTGAATTTTTAGCTTCACTAATCTGTCTGTTCATAAATAAACATATCTCATAAGGATAGCCATACTCATTTTGTTTCTTTTCTAGAGTTTTTGTGGCTATTCTTATTTGTTTGTTATTCTATAAGGTTTTTGTAGTAACATCGCTAGTTTGGAAAACTGATGGTATCTATATCAGGATCAAACTTAAATTTATAAATTAGCTTAAGGAAAATTGACCTTTTTACAATATTGAGTTTTTCTACCCCAGAACATGATGTAAATTTACATTCATTTATTTCTACTTTCATATATTTCAGGAATGTTTTATAGTTTTCCTCATATAGGCTTTACACATTTTTGTTGTATTTATTCCTGGTTAGTGTATTTCATTTTATGTTACGCTTTTGTAATTGCAGGCCCTCCCATTGTAACTTGTAAATGATTCTTAAAGCCTATGTACAGGGGTGCCTGGGTGGCTCAGGCAGTAGATGGTATGACTCTTGATCTTGGGGTCGTGAGCTCGAGCCCCATGTTGGGTACAGAGGTTACTTAAAAATAAAATAGCCTATGTACAAAAAGGCTGTTGTTTTTGTATAACAATATATCCTATTAGCTTACTGAATTATTTTTCTTAATAGATTTTCTATCAGTTCTTTGTGTTTCCAGATATATACTTGTATCTATCATCTACAAGCATAGTTTTACATCCTTGTTTCTAATTCCTTTGCCATTTTAAATTGCCCGGCTAAACCTCCGACTCAATGATAAATGAATAGAACAGGTGATCATGTGCTTTTTTAGTGTGGTTTCTGGTCTCAGTGGAATGAATATCTCTAGTGTGTTTCCCTGCGAGCAAGATGAACACTTTGTTTTATCAAGTTGGGAAAGATCCATCAATTCCCAATTTTGAGCGTTTTAATTTAATATCCATACATGTTGAATTCTCCCAAATAATGTTTTTGTAACTACAAGTAAGATCTCTTGATTTCTCTTAATAAATATGATGAACGATATTAATGAATTTTCTAATAGTGAATCATTCTTGAATTCCAGACGTAAATTTTACTTGGTCATCATATGTTATTTGTATATTATTTTTCAGGGGTTTTGGCAATATTTATTTTAGATGGTACCATCTGTAGGCTGATGTGAGATCTTTCTGTGGTATTCTTTCTGGTACAGACTTTAGGTTTGGTACAAACAGCATTTCCTCCTTCCATGTGAGACCCTGTCTGCTTCCAGGAATAATGGAAAAGGAAGAGTCTCTCTCAAACACTCCAGTGGTCCTTTGGATATGCTCATTAGAAACTTCTAATAGATCCTGGTAATTAAGAAGTTTTTCAGAACTGTTGCCCAAGTGTGAACTGTGACTGTCGCTACAGGTGACATTGATGATTGCATTTCTTGGGGGAGGTGAGGTCACAGAATCACTAACCCATGTCTCAGGGTCTGGCTTCCTCCCGTCCACACATGCTTTGGCTGCTACTTTACACCTGGCTCACAGTGCTGGCAGCAGGAAGGAGTCTGTGAGTATCTCCTAGTTTAGTCTGAGACTAGAGTCTCGAAGGTTAGGAGGAGATGCAGCAGGAATCTGGGTAGGTGAGCAGGTCTGGGAAAGCAGTCCTGAGGCACAGGCTGAACTTGTGGGGAGAGGCCACTAAGTCAATGCATGACTGCTGCTAATGTAATTTAACAATATCCTCCTTTAAAGGGGTTCTTGGTGTTTGATCCAAGTGCTTTCAGAGTCTGAATTTTAAGATGCTTCAAGATTGTAACTTCAGAATTAGTCTGCTATTCAGTACCGTGTGCGAGAGTCACAGGGACATTTTCAGGAGCAATATTGTGATTTCTATAAAGGCATGTACGTGTGATAACGAATATGATGGAACGAATTAAATTACCTGATTCACAGCAGAAAAGGTGTGACTGAATGGGAATTGCTGAAATTTATTCTTCTGTAACTTGAGTGTGACGAGCTTAATGGAGACAGTAAATGTGTCTCTACGGAAAATATCTGTGGTCTATTGTTCTGTGAGACAATTTTCTTCCCTGAAATTAGGAAAGGTCCCTTAAGAAAAGTTAGCATCATAATAGAGGGTTGCAAAGAGCAAAAACTTAAGGACTTTATTTTTATATTTTAATTTAATTTTAAAATAAGGAATTAATTTAAAAATACAATCTCATCAGAAAAAAAAGCAATTTTAAGGTTCAAATGTTTCTTGCTGTATTTTCTCTGGTTCAAAATTATTTCAGGGGCACCTGGGTGGCTCATTTGGTTGCGTGTCCGACTCCTGACTTCGGCTCAGGTTGTGGTCTCAGGGTCCTGGGATCCAGCCCCGCGACGGGCCCCCTACTCAGAGGGGAGTCTGCTTGTCTCCCTCTCCCTCTGCTCCTCCCCCTGCTCGTACTCTATCTCCCTCTCTCTGAAATAAGTAAATAAATCTTTTAAAAAATCATTTCAATATTATTACCAGCTCACTATTCACCTCTCTTGCTTTTCAGTTATTAAATGCTCAAGGTTCCAAGTCTTCAAATTCCATTTTGCATGTTTGTATTGTATTTTAATAGCTTTTCCGAATCAAATATCAGTTTGAGTTTCAGTTTGTTTATTCTAAAATAATAAACATACAGTGATGTGATCTTTATGGGATTAATTTATTTCCTGCCCTGATATACTTTATCACTGTTTATGTTTCATGTCCCATATTTTAGCAGTAGTTTTGTGCAGTAATTTCTGTTATGGGTGCCAGTGTATTTTTGGTTCAGGCAAAAAATGAAATGAGTTTTTCTGCTGCCATCTTAACATTTGTCTACATTAAATAAATCAAATTGGCTCATATAAAATTACTCAGTGCATCTATAATTTATTAAGGCCTCTGAATCCTTACTCCTTAAGTATATTGGTTATAAAAGAAATACTTAGACAAAAATGGGAAATTGTCAAACCAAGTTTATATAGTAAAGTAAATTTAAAATATGAGAAGGTGTGTGTGTGTGTGTGCACCCATAACTAGGTACTTGGCATAGTATAGTATAGTAGTAAACACTAATGTCATTGCAACTAGGCTACCCAGGTTCAAATCCTGATTCTGCTTTTATTTTTTTATTTTATTTATTTATTTATTTATTTTTTAAAGATTTTATTTATGTATTTGACGCAGAGAGAGCACAAGCAAGGAGAGCGGCAGGCAGAGGGAGAGGGAGAAGCAGACTCCCCGCTGAGCAGGGAGCCCGACGCGGGGCTCGATCCCAGGACCCTGGGATCACGACCCGAGCTAAAGGCAGCGGCCTAACCAACTGAGCCACCCAGATGCCCCTCTACTTTTATTTAGATGAGTCACTTTACTGCCCATGGTTAAATTCTCCTCGCCTATAAAATGAGAGTTATATTAGTTCCTTACTCATAGGGTTGTTAATGTTAAATAAGTTAGAATAGGTAGAGCATTAATAACAGTTACCCACACGTTGTAAGGGCTATAAAAAGAAACACACAAAATGGGAAATCTCTTAATAAAAGAGAATATATTTTAGATATTAATTTTCAGGGGGATGGAATAATGGAAAAGGAAGAGTCTCTCTCAAACACTCCAATGGTCCTTTGGATATGATTTTATTTCCTGTGAAAATGCAGCCCAAAACTCATGTTTTCATGTAGAACCCTCTGCCTGTGAATTTGAATATTGAGTTCTGGAGAATGACAGAATGGCCTTGGTGGATTTGAATATAGGAATGATCTTGCTATTCCAGATAGTCGTTGGAATCCTGGGGAATTTCTCACTCTTATATCATCACACGTCCCTTTACTTCAGGGGATGCAAGCCAAGATCCACAAATTTGATTCTCAGGCACCTGACTGTAGCCAACTCCTTGGTCATTCTCTCTAGAGGAGTCCCAGAGACCATGGCCGCTTTAGGGTTGAAACATTTCACCAATTATGAATGCTACATTCCTTTATATGCTCACAGAGTAGCCAGAGGTATGTCCATTTGTTCCACCTGCCTCTTGAGTGTCTTCCAGGTTATCATGATCCACCCTGGCAACTCCAGGTGGGTAGAGCTTAAAGTGAAAGCTCCAAAGTACATTGGCTCCTCTAGTATCCTGTGCTGGGTGCTGCACATGGGGGTAAATATGTTTTTTCCTATTTATGTGACTGGTAAATGGAACAACAAAAATATTACAAAGAAAAGAGATTTGGGATATTGTTCTTCACAGCATCGTGCCAAGATCGCAGACTCAGTGTATGCAGCAGTGACATCTTTCCATGACAGTTTGGGTTTGGGACTCATGACCTTGGCCAGCAGCTCCGTGGTTTTCTTCCTTTCCAGGCACAAGCAGAGGGTCCAACACATCCATAGGAACAGTCTCTCCCCCAGACCCTCCCCTGAGTCCAGAGCCACTCAAAACATCCTTGTTTTGGTGGCTACCTTTGTATCATTTTTTTTTTTT